CATCTGTAAACTGAAAAAACTTTTTGTCGGCTATAGTTGTATTTATTAATAATCGATGACAAGAACAACAATGTATTATTTATTTCTACATTTAAAACTGAAAGTGCCGTTTTCGTTTGAGCGCGCCCCATTTCATTTATTCAGTTCAGTTCAGTTAAGTGCCTTATCTGTTGCAGATGTTGGCTACCATTTTCATTTATTATTGTTGCTATATACTCGATAATAATCATTTTTCTTTGTTTTCTTTTAATTTGAAAATTTTTTTTTTTTACCATCAACTATTTCATAAATAAGACCATTACAATAATGCAGTTTATATGCATCAGCCGCTCTTATCACACTATTATATATCTCAATTAATCCATAAATGGTGACAGTGTTGACTTCTGACACTGATAAAAAGGGGAAAGCGAAAATTGATCGATACGATGATTAGTCACTACGACAATTGATCGACGAGAAAAATAGTCAAAAAATTCGTAATAAAAGAAAATGAAATAAAAACTTCGAATGCGACGAGTCAGCCAAAGCATTACAAGAAGAACATAAAAGACGCCATTGGTACAATGTTCATCACTACAAGGGAGTTTTTTTGCTAGTTGATGCAGCAGATGAAATGGAATTCCTTTTTAAAATTATTATTGTTAGATTCATGTATTTTCATGAAATTGTATCGAAATTAATTCTGATAGCGCTGTGGAACTGCGAAAAAAGCTTTTTGAGAGTGTGTTGTAATTGTCAGCGTTGGTGCGACTGCAGGTATGAGTGCCACAACTGTGGTAAATTGTAGTGCGCAATAGGGCTCAAGAAGATCCATCCCAACACCCGTACTCATTTTTAATTTTCATTTTTTCTTCTGCTTAAAACCAACTGTTCTGGAAAAGGTTGGAGTCCACTTTACTTGCACACAGTACTGCAACAACTATATTAAAAGTACCAGTGACAAATTATATACTGATATTAATTTATTTTTTACACTGCTGTCCCTCTTATTGAAAGATTCTTTTTTCTTCTTCTTTAATTAAGAATTTTTCGACTATTTTTCTCGTCGATCAATTTTCGTAGTGACTACTTTTCGTATCGACCAATTTTCTTCCGCCAATTTTGGTGGACCCGGTTTCTTCAAATAATTATGAAACTGTTGAAATATTTTATAGCAGTCAAACTCACATTCTTCATACTATTCAACTCGTTTCTTTTATTGTTAAATAAAGCTGAAGCCTTTTGTGCGCAGTTGTTGAGGTCTGTAATGGAAAGGGGGGAGGGGAGGAGTCGCAAAAGCTTGAACTTGAAACTTAGACTCACTATTTTCTTCGAGAATATACGTGAGTTCCACAAAATGAATATTCTGGGTTTTTTTATTTTACAAATATCTGTACACTTTCACAAATCATGTATGGCATTGATGGTGTTTGATGTTGTTCTAATATCAGTCTAAACAAATATATTTATGTTCGAAAGGGATTCTGGACTACATAGGCTTTAACAAAGTGATTTTAAGAAATTTTTTTTTTGCTTCAATGTGGTTACATGTCTTTCGGAAAGACATTAATTGTTTTTTCTATTCATTGAAGCATTTCTGGTGATAGATTTCGGATAAGTGTAACTGATACATTAGAGCAAAAGAGAACTAAAGGAGACATAAAAAGACAAAGTGCTGCGAAGAAGTCAGTAATGTTCAATAAATCTAATAAAAGTTATCACGATTTATTCAAAATGAATTCAAAAAAGAAGAAATGTCTTATCAAGACTGTAATGGACATCTACGGTCACTACCAAATCTAATCGATGATGAACATAAATAGGATAGTTCAACAGATAGCTATCTATTGAAGTTCATTTCCGATGCAGACAACAGTGAAAAGTTACTCATTTGTTTCAATAATTATTTCAATTTAGAACTTGCCAATGATATTGAAGTTTATTTTGATGATCGAATAAACATCAGACGATGGCGATGAAAATGAGCAAGGTAATTATTCTGATAGTGCAACAAAGTCTACTAGAATTTCTTCTTCAACAACATCACCTATGATTCTAACAATGATATCAATCACTTAAAGTAAAGTTACTTGCAGTAAATGACCTTTCAGTACAGGGAATAAACGCAAGCGTCTAGGGTGTGGATGCGTGGGTAAATGCATAGATGTTCATATTCTGTTCATATAGATACGTCCATACCCACACTCATGTCCTAGATAAATAAATATAAAGTTTACCTGGCGGTATAATAAATGCCTTAACATTATTTAGATCTGGTAAAGCTTTTTGTTCTTCAGTTAAATCTGTTCGATTATGTGTTGGTTTTCCTAAAACCATCATAAATGGTTCTTTGCCGCCAATCCCAATAAATGCTTGAGTTAAGTGCATATGTCTTTCTAACCATTTGGTTTCTTTATTTGGATTGAAAAGAATTTCTGCTGTACGGCACGTTGCAGGTGGACGACAATCAAATTCAAAATTGTTTCCTTCGATAACAGTACTTTTATAGAATGGAATTGTTAGTCCTTGATTCTTTTTAGCTGATAATACGTTAATTAATGTTCCATAGCCATCTTCAATTCCTTCATAGGAACATGTTGGGACTTCGAATGTTGAATTGACAGTAGAGGATGGGGACACTGTGAAAAAAACAGAAGAAATATTCTTAAAATAAAACTATGGATCATATATTTAAACAAAAAATCTGTTATGAGCACAACAGTAAATGCGAACATTTTATATTATTTTGCATCTATTTTTGTTTCTCTTCCTGATAATTACGTAGTAATTAATCTTGTTCTACATACTCATGAGAAAAGTGTTACAACGATTCACAAACTCTTGAGTACATATTTTATCCATAAGTTGGACTGAATGATACTAAGAAAATCTTAAAGCTGTTCTCAGCCATGACCAATTAGTCCTAAATTTTGACCGTTTTAGTAAATTTTTCGGCTTCCGACATACGATTTAAAACAAAGTCAAATGAAAGTATTTCAATCTGAAATTCTGTTCATGATAAGTTCTCATGATTCCTAGTGTACACTAAAGGTTTCAAGCCAAATAGATGCTATACTTTCAACATAGTTACGTTTCAAAAAATGCCCACTAAAAAACAGACGGATTGTAATTGTAGATCTACTATAGAAACTCAATAATTTGAGAAAGAAGCATCTGTTTTGATCAAAAATTTTAGTTTACAAACGCATTTTATTTCATATGACCCTTCCCACAGTCGAGGGAATGGATAAGAACAGATTTAACATCACCAAGTCCTATTTATGGACAAAATATTAGCTCAAAAGTTTCTTAAAAGTTGAAGAACTTCCCTCGTTAGCTTTTTCCTTAAAAAAAAGAGGTGTAAAGATAGGAGGGAGTATTCTTCCCCAGTTTTGCACAAGTTTTGATTTTGTTCAACCTACTATCGGCGTTTTTATTGAAAAAAAACATAGAATGATATAGAAGATATTTGCACCACCCGTTTCATTTTAAACAACCTATATTTGCGCGTTTTCACTACTCTGAAAGCTGTTTTTTTGATACTCCTCCATTGTCAGTAACATGCGTCCCAAGGGATTTTCTAAATATTGCTACATGTTTGTGCTTGAACGAGTTCTGTCATACTTCGAAAAAGCCACTATAAATGAAGGAAAATTGATGAATAATTTACTTACTTTGTCTTTTTTTGTCGGCAGTAAAATATTTCGTCGTTTTTCTCAGATAAACTCTCCTTTTATGTATACCCTTGCGATGATTGTTCAGAACTATTTATAAGAAAAAGCTTATCAAAACTAATGTTTTCTATGCCTTATCGTAGCACAAGGTAAGCGTGTGATGGACCAATGTTGTTTATTCAGTAAAATTAGTAATTCATAGGCCTTTCAGCGCAATATTAAATTGCGACGTCGAATAATTTGCACTCCACTTTTAAGAAATGACCTCCTTCTGATAGTAAATGGTGTGAGATTGTTAAAGATAAATTGATAAAAGTATTCTCAAGTGTTTCATTGCCATTAAACTGCAACGCAATTGCACTGTAACTGTGATCTTATTGTGATTCATAATTTCGGAAAGTTGCAACATAGTTATGCACAAGTACAATAAAAAAATCACACTGGTGCGAGATTGCGTCGCAGCTTTTTGCAATTGCAAGAGATGATATACATAATGCTTTTACTCTATTAATACTTTTATTGTTAATTAAAAATATTTTTTCAAGCACAAAAAATTAAAAATTTAGACAAAGTTCTAAATTTGAAAGCAAGAATTCAAAAAAATAAAAAGGATTTGAAAAATTAGAAAAAATATTAAAAAAATTAAAGAAGTTTAAAAATTAGAAAAAAAAGCTTTAAAAAAATAAAAAGATTTGAAAACAAGAAGAATTAAACAAAATATTAATGGAGAAAATCAAAAACAATTAAAAAAAACTAATTTTTTTGAAAAAATTCTATCGTTCGTAGTAGAGTTAATTATGAGTCGAAGTTACATGATGACTGCTTTTTATGCAGCCCCTGTATGGCTGGGTTTTAGTGTTAGAGTATCATCCATTTTTAATAAGGAGAAATCACTTATAACTGGACGGTACTAGTTACAATCAGTCGTGCGATACGATTGCAGCTGTTGATAGAGGTTTTCACTATGATCAATGCGTCAACAATTATCAGCAGTTCCGATGAAAATTTCGCACTTACGCGTAACTGTGGTGCAGTTAGTAAAAAAAGAGACGATGTGGGTTGTGATAGCTGCGTATTTGTGCGTCAAGTTAGATAAGAAAGAAAAAGGTAACCGACGCAATTTAGTTTTTTCTCTAGTTCACATTGAAGCTTTTATTTGATTAAGTGATTCATTTTACTTTCAGAAGGTTTTTGAGTAGAGAAAGGACGAAATAATTTTTCAAAAATAACTATATCAAAATAAGTTAACTCAAACAATATTTTGCTCTCCTTTACATCATTTTGTGATTTACATTTCATATCCAGTGCAAATTCGTTTTGTTTTCAACTAATTTTAGTTTATTGATGTTTGATATACGAGAAGAAATTTCTTTGAAACATCCATCCAATAGTGATCAAGTAGTGGTTGTTCCAATAATCAATTGTGAAGTATTTATTAATGGTCACGGCGGACCTTGTATTCAGCCACATTTAAATAATCTTTCACCTGATATTGCAAATAGTGGTTGGCGTGATTATGGTAATAGACAAGGAACAAGTCGTCTTCTTAATATATTTTCTGACTTACAAATACCGAGTAGTGTTGCTATGAATTCATATTTAATTGATAAAGAACCTGATATATTTCAAGAAATATTAAAATATTCTCGACAAGAACAAAATGTTGAAATTATTGGTCATGGTCTTACAAATTCATTATCTGCTGTTAAACATTTATCTTTTGAAGAACAAGTAAAACAATCTTTGAATCAAATTGAAAAAGCAGTTGGGAATGGACGAAGGCCAACAGCATGGTTAACTCCTGGATTTGCAGCACCGGAAAATTCATCAAAAATCTTAGGTCAATCATTAATTATTCGATTTGTTATTTTCGGAATTAGTCTCTAATATTGAATTATTTAAAGCTTCTAATTCATAAGGAAATCTTGCGAGGAGCAGAAACGTTTTTGAGCTAGAGATGTTCAGCACAGTGCCGCTGTCACCGCTGCGGTGGTAGTGTGGAAATGGTATGGAATTCCTTTTTTATAATAGCATAGCGAGAACATCGGGAAGTTATATGAATTTCTACAAAAATTTCAGCGTTTTCACATGTGATAGGGTAACTAAGGGGACCAGCCCAACTTATACTCGTCATTTGAGCATTCCTTTGATCTATGAATTGACTTCGGTGACACTAGCAAAAGATTAAAATAAGGTGCGCGTAATCCAAAACTTCAGCAGATTTTATTTTTCGTTAAAAATAACATCCCTAGACTCAGTTTTTGACGCTGATCACGAATATCACCTTACTTTTTTTAATTTGATCTGCTTGTCATTTAGAAAAACCCAAAATACTGAAAGATACAGAAAAGTCAGAAAAAACGCAATCTGTCAGTGAATGCCCTGAAAATTTGTTATTGATTGGTCTTTTGCTTTTTTTTGAATGGCATATTCGAATTCCTCGTGAAAAATTGAGTTGATTCTCATTATTCAGAGATTTATCATGTATCA